AAGTTTGTACAGTCCGTACGATATTTGTTGAGAAAGAATTCCAAGAAGACTCCTGCGTCACTCTCTTGGAATTAACCGCATTGGACACCCGAGACGTTCACCGTAGTAACTTGCATTGTATATTGTATTTTGCTTGTTTCTTCGGTTGTTTTCTTTGAATTCTACCTCAACAAATATCGTACGGATTGTACAAATTTTGGTAGTAGAAACTGGATACAATTTCTAGAAAAAAAAGTACAAATTCTAGTATCTACCTATGGTTTAATACAGGGTAGTCCAGATTTTAATAGACAAACTTCGGGAAACTATTAAACAACAAAAATTAACATCATTTTGCTCTATGAACATAGGCGCAGAAAATTTATGAGATACTGGGCGTTGAAATTAACAAAAATAAAACAATTTATTTAAATATCTGGAAAACGGCTTTATCAAATATATCCAAATCTGTCTGTCTATTAAAAATCTGGACCGCCCAAATTCGTTTTATTTTCCCTATTTCAAAACCTTATTTCCTTGGATAATATGTCTCATAACTCGTAAACCATTCACTTTTCGACAAAAATAAAAGAATATTTTTTCATCCGGAATATTTCAGACCATTATAAAATGTATTCATATTACCAATTAATTCAGTGGCGTAGAAGTTTTACTCTAAATAACGAAACAACGTCCTTGTTTCTCCGCCACTGGTTTTTGAATTTAGACTGTCTGCATACAGAACTAGGAGAAATATTTGAAAAAAAATGTGTACCAAATTTGGATAAATTTGATGAAGCAGTTTTCCAGACATTTAAAGAAATATTATTATTTTCGATAATTTCAACGCCCTGTATCTCATAAACGGTGGCTTTCTGCGCCTATGTTTATAGAGCAAAGTGATGTTAATTTTTGTTGCTTAGTACTTTCTCGAAGTTTGTCTATTAAAAATCTGGACCACCCAAATTCGTTTTATTTTCCCTATTTCAACACTTTATTTACTTGGATAATATGTCTCATAACTCGTAAACCATTCACTTTTCGACAAAAATAAAATAATGTTTTTTCATCTGCAATATTTCAGACCGTTATAAAATGTATTCATATTACCAATTAATTCAGTTCAATAAGGAAACGACGTCCTTGTTTTTCCGCCACTGGTTTTTGAATTTGGACTGTCTGCAAACAGAACTAGGAGAAATATTCGAAAAAAAATGTGTACCAAATAAATTTGGATAAATTTGATGAAGCAGTTTTCCAAATATTTAAATTTTTTTATTATTTTTGATAATTTCAACGCCCTGTATCTCATAAACGGTGGCTTTCTGCGCCTATGTTCATAGAGCAAAGTGATGTTAATTTTTGTTGTTTAGTACTTTCCCGAAGTTTGTCTATTCAAATCTGGACCACCCTGTATACAGTCCGTACAGTATTTGTTGAGATAAAATTCAAAGAAATGAATAAGCCAATAATGTTCTGTTCTCGAAACTATTGTAGCAATTTATCACGGTAGGGGCGTGCCTTGAAATTTTCCGCGTTATTTTCAAAATATTAAAATATATATACAGGGCGTTTCTAATGTAATTTGTAACAAGGCTAGCGAATTATCCTATACTGAAGTAATTGAATTGCTACTGCTTCACAGTCTTTAAAAATCTATTGCCTTCTTTGATTTAATGTATTCTTATTTGAGATCCTGTGTAAAATACTCCTACATTTTGGACGAAGACGCTCATTCGAACGGACTGCCAGAGCCCGAAGTAGCTGGAGGATCACAATTAAAACCGCCATAAAATACGCAAGCGAGGGGTCCAGTAATCTATGAGATTCCGACAATGGTCAGCCATAATTGTAAAAGCGAAATAGTTGTGCGATACACCACTGGCGCCCCCTAACTGGAAAATTCATATCGCACCGTCATAAAGTACCAGTGGAGAGGTCGAATATGTTGGCTAGCTTTCTGGCTAGAGTTAAGCTGCTAGAAAAAATTTAGGGACACATTTTACTGTTTAATAAATAATTTGCGTGAATTTCTAAAACCTTTTGGAAAAGCTAGCTTTGTTCATTGCAAGAATGAATAAAATCACCAATAGTAGTCAGCAATTGACCCACTAAAAATAAAGGGAGGGACTACCAACGCAAGATTACCTACGTATCCTTTAATACATAGTACTGTAGTAAAAAGTTGTGATCGAGAATCGAGAAGATGAATGACAGGGACAAATTCGCTTTGCTTCGAGGCTCCCAGCATGCTCGTTTTTTTTTAGATTAGATTCCGTCTCGTCAGCACGGGAATTGTAGGCTGACGGTCTAAAAGCAGGTTATGTTCTCGTCGCACTAAGTGACGTCACAATGCTTTCTTAATCATGTTACTAAATTTAAGTATTTACATAATTTTAAATATTTATAATTATTCCTAGCATTAAAAAATATATTACTTTTTTACTACTGTCGGTTGCTGTCGGTTATGGACTATAAATCTATGTAGTTTTAAAAGAAATTAAATTAAGCTGTGTGCAGGAGCGGAGACATAAAGGCAATGAAGCAAATGAAAAAAAATGGTGAACTTTCGAAAGTACATTTTGAAGCGTTTGGTACAGTGTGCGGAATTTATTCTTTTTACATTTTTTCCTGATTTCTAAAAAAAGAGTAAGTAATAACGAAACCAAATTGGTTACATCTTATCGCGACATAAATTTCTTTAAAAAATGACCTACATGCAACAGGATTTGTACGGCTAAGTTTTTTTGTGCCTTTTTCGAATCACTGATCAATTTCAAAGGAAACGTTATATTTTGCAAAATTGTCATAAAATTATGATAGGATTTTGAGTAAATGGCGTGAAATTTAGTGCATATAATTATAATTTTAGTTGAATCATATAGTAGATGTAGTAGATCGACTTATTCGGTTGTCATTAATTTGGAAGTAATTGTTGTAACTGTCAAGACCATTATCACATTGTACGTATTGTTTACATATAAAAATACGAAAATTCCCTTTAAATATACCAATGAAGAATTTGCCGACATTCATTTTATTTATGGATATTGCATTGAAAATGCTAGAGCAGTAATTATGAAATATAGAAGACAGATTCCTGGTAGATGGCAGGAGAGAATGAAATTTGCCGTGGACACAACTAGGAAGAAAAGTTCACGTTGTGGTAAAATATTCTTAAATATAATATAAATAAGGGAAATATTGGCTAGGAGACTTCCAGGTTTACTATAAAGAACACATCTGTTAAATGACTAAACACGATAGGGAAGCATCGCAGGATATAACTGTAATTAGCCACAGTACTTCTCTCTCTCTCTCTCTCTGCAGAACTGACACGAAGGAAAAACAGGAAGAATCTCAGCGTTATTCTTCCTACCAACCATACTTTTAAGGGGTGTTCATATTTGAGATTTTTAAATTTTTTAATAAAACACATAATTGGTTAGAAATACATAGATATCTTTATTGAATATTAAAGTAGACATGATGTGGTTAAGAATGTCAGATAAGTGACCACTTCTTGCACCTCAACAAGCCTTTAATCTTTTAGCAAAATTTTCCATCGCGTGTTCACATAATAGTGGTTTATTTTGAGTGATTTGCTTAATTATGTTTTCTTTCAGATGTTGCTGTGCTCTTCAAAACACCCCATAAAAAGAAGTCTAATGCTGATAGATCGTATGATCTTGGTGGCCAATTAACATGTCTTCGAGAAATTATTTTATTACCAAATTTCTGTTTCAAAAGATCGATATTCTGCACATTGATACGCTACAATTCAACCAATAAAAGGTTTGTTCGATATCGAGCAAAATCCACAGTAACAACGTTTCCAGCTTCATTTTCAAAGAAGTATGTACCAATCACTCAACCATACCAAAAACCACACCAAACAGTTACTATTTGTGGATGCATGGGTTGTTGCAATATTACCAGTGAGTTTTCTTCACCCCAGATACGACAATTTTGTTACATATCCACCAATTTCAAAATCATCATTGGCATCATCAGTAAAGATGATTTTGTTAAAAAAATCATCAATTTCTTTCACTGCAAGAGCCAAATTATTTAGTTATTTTTTTTTTATACACTTAAATATAACATGAACACAAATAAAGACAAAAACGTATAAGCATGTATAAAACAAATGAATTGTAGATAATATTAAAAACTAAGAAACCGAATATGAGAAAAAGCAAACATATAAGTACACAAGTAGGTATAAATAACAGAATTTTTGTTTGATGCATTTAATAGTATTATGAAAAATATCCACAGAATTTTGCATCGGATAATTAAGATCCATTACGTACAAACGTGAAAATTTCAACAGATTAGTTTTAAGGGTGGGAAAATAAAAAGGTCTTAAAAACGGATGTCCGAATGAGGAACGTGAAAATATAATGCAGCTAGTAAATCTACGTCGTTTGGTTAAGTCATTCAGATGGAACCGACTTAGTAAAGTGTTTTGTGGTACCCCTTGAGGTACCACAAAACAATATGTTGTCCATTTTGAACCATAGGTATTTAACATGCCCCTTAATTTTTTAACATGGAATGCATAGGTGGGGTACCATACCAGTGATCCATATTCCAGTTCCAGCAAAACGAATGCGTTGAACAGAAAGGATGCAGTACAAGTTTCAGAAAACTGTCTTGAGTTTCTTAGAACAAAGCCGAGATTTTTATATGTCTCTCTTTATATATTGTTAATGTGTTCGTCAAAACCACAGCCTACCAACCAGAGAGCCGAGTTGATAGGGAAAAGTTGTCTCTGTTTTTTATCTTTCTCTGAACCTTATTAAACGCAATACTTCTCTCTTTGTCGATTTAAATGTAAAACAGAGGTAGGCGGAGCTAGTGCTCGTTATCGGTATAGAAGAAATTTGAAATGGGTTTGGGAAATAATAATGTTTCTGATACAATTTGGTAGGTGGCGCTGGGTGGAAAATATTGATGAGATCTATTTTTTGAATTTTATAAAATTCGACAGATGGCCAGATAAGAAAACGAGAAGTTGATAAATTCAAGATACGTTCAGTAAAACTTCTATGGTTTACAGAAATTAGTTAAATAGCAATGAAAATAATATTATTAACATTATGACGATCACATTTTATATAACCTACGCATAGGTTGCAGGTAAGTATGTAAGTAAGTAGTTTATATATAGCGTTGATATTTGTGTTGTATAGTATTTTTTCAGTGCCCATTAGTGTATTGACTGTTAATTTAATGTTTAAGTGTGTTTGAGCGTGAGAAACTTTTGGTTTTCCATTTTTTTTTGACACTTGTGACAATGACATTATATTGTATTATTTGTGGATATTCCGAAGAGGACGTGAAAAAATTATTCTGTTTTCCACGAAACTCAGAGAAGTGAGAATTATGCATAATTTTTATTTTGACAAATATACATATATGTATATTTTTCCTTGATGATACAAGTAAACTTAAGTTACTAAATATGCGAAAAAAAAAAATTAAAAATATGATAATTATTTACTATAGCGTAAAGCTCTCAAATCATAATAAAAATATATTCCACTAATATATAAAAGAGTAGGTAGTACTTATTATATTTATATCTTATTTAGGTATGTCTAATATGTCAGTATATATAATAATTCATTCTATTATATTTTAGATCCAAAATCTGGCAAAAATCCCTTGGTATGATATATCAGGAAAAATTATCTGCACATATACAACTTTGTGATATGCATTTTGAAAAAAAATCTTTTAGCTACATATAAAAGTTAAATATATTGATAATAATATAACTCAGTGTATTATTTTTACCATGTCTAAACAAAAAAATAATAAAGAAAAAAACATGCTTACATGTTACTGCACAAGATTTTATGCAAATTTTTGTATAAAGTGTAGGTTGAGATATTTCCAACCTGATACTTTATATAAAATTTTGCAGAAAATCTTGTATACTGGTAATAGGATTTAAAGAATATTTCAAAATTCCCGCTATGTGACATACCGCGCCATCTACGTAGGTTTTACATTAAGAGCGAGAGAGTAAAATGATATAGCTCTGTCTCTTGAACTACAATTACACGTTCACTTGGTCATCTGTTGGTAATCTGTAGTCAAAACTAAGTTTATCATCAAAGGTTATCCTGAGACTAACAAATGTACGACTCAATCTATGATCAGCTGGTAATAATTTTTGTGTTAACTGAATTTTGTAAGTCTTTAAGGGAAGATCCTTATGCAAAATATTGACTAAAGTGGTTTGTTTAATGCCTCATTACTGCGAACGATGACGGATTGATGTGTTTGATTCTGCAGTGACACTATTATTGACAGCTGCATTATTTCTTGTGAACAAGTTTCTTCGAATTTATTCACAATATCAAAGACTAAAATCACATAACTCCATATTTACGTTCCTTCAATTTGTTGAACATGTCTGAGAGGAGACTTATTCATTTTGCCAGTTTTATACTCAATATTTTAAAAAATAACAAACCTACATATTTATGTGATAAAATAAAATGGAGATCTGAAACACATAATAAAAATTTGAGATCACTGAGTAGCAAAGCGTGTATTCCTTCACATAAAACTGAAAAATTTAAAAATTCATTTTCGTATTTAGCTTCTTATGTTATTAATAATTTACCCCTCCAGTATCACAATTTGTCAGTGACAACCGTTAAACATATGTTAAAAAATAATATACTTTTTTCTGACTTGGTACTTTTTGATGTATGTAGGTTTTAACTATATCCAATAGTGTTTTGTATNTTTATTCACAATATTTCGAATGCTGCTGTTTGTTGGACAATTTCTTTTTCCACATTTTGTACATTTTCTTCCAATTTCTGAATAATTTTCACCAAATTTAAAATATTTTTTAACAATAAAGACGTGTTATTCAATCGTATACTTCTCCATATTTATTAACTCCCATGTTTCTACTTCACAGCTGTCAAAAGATTAGTCATTTTAGTACAAAAAACATAAATGACGTTATATTACAAAAGTTAACTCAAATTTGAACACTTCATAATTGCTTATATATTATAAACACTATTTGAACTCGATATCTTTATAATCAACGTCTGATGAGTTAGACCTATGTTGTTAATCAGCAAAAAAAACTAATAGTTTTACGTTTGCGATATTCTTAAAAATAATTGTGCAGATTGTAGGTATTTGATATTAAGATGATGGATTATAACGTCGATTTATTAGATGATGCAGAAGGTATTCAATGAGGTTTTATCATCTGAAATTTAAAATCGGTAATGCCTATATCATTTCGCATAGTGTATTTTGTAGGCACTGCTAAAAAAGGTCGGCTATAAATATCACATGATAATTAACATTCCTCTATGTGACAAAATGTATAAAAACGGTTTGGTTAGAGCGGGTGCCTTTGTGTAAATACACTTCACGGCGGAGTTTTAAATGAGTCACATTTTAAAGCGGGTTTTAATTCGATGAAAGGGAATTTTTATATCGGAAGGGGCAGTTACACATACCATCCTCGAGAAGTGGAGGAAAAAGGACACAAAAAATTTATAAATCCACTTTAAATTTTTACAGATAATAGCATTTGTTTTGTAATGTGAAATTAAGAATGAAAAAAAGTAAATATTTTGTCCCGGAAATTAAAAAAGTAAAATAAATAAATAATGCATTTGTTTTTCATAAATATCCTAAATAAAATTGTGTTGATTACTTGCCGGATATTTTTATAAAAATGTTGAATATGGAAAAAAATGATTACACAGACCCACAAAATCAAGGATCGGATCTGGTATTCAGACCCATGTATTTCCATGTATTTTTTCCGCTGAATCCGAATCTGCCTTCAGGTTTGGCACAGCGGGTCTGTTTTCGGGAAAATTCAAAAAACGGGTCAAAATTCACAAGAAACGTCATTTAGGATCGACGAAAGTTATAAAAATTCTAATTATTCTACCAGCTCACTAGACGTATGATTTTTCACTCGTTTAATTCCAATTTATCATCATAGAGTCAGACAAGCTGGTCCAATTTCATTCAAAAACAGAAAATAGATCAAAATGCTTAAAAACGCCATTTTCATGGCATAATTCGTGTTGCAAAGTTCTGGATCCATCCTTTTATCCACCCACCCACTAATGAATTCATACATCTTTCTATCAAGTCGTTCATGCATGAATACGCATATTTATTCCTCCACCTTTACCACCTATAAAACCCACCCATCCACTCATCTATCCATCTACTTTTTGTACTGAGAGATGAGATAACAGCCTAGAAGATTGAGAAAACTGTAGCGACAAATTATTTAGGAAACAACAGGAGTCCTAAATACGAAGAAATTGTATCAAAAATGATAAAAGACTTCAAAGATCTGGGATGTTTGATGAACTACAAGTTGCACTTCCTTCATTCACATCTGGATTGGTTTCTTGAAAATCTTGGAGATTATAGCGAAGAACAAGGCGAACGATTTCATCAAGATATGAAGGTTACAGAACAGCGATATTAAGGAAGATGGGATGAAAACATGATTGTCAATTTTCATTGGTTGTTAAAAAGAGAAATCAAAAATAGAGGGACTAAACGAAAATGTAACTCTTTGCATAGATCCTTTGAAGAAAAGAGGACACGTTATAGCAACAAAAATAAGAATGATTTGTAGATATCGTTTTATTTTGTTTGGAAAGTAGAGTATTCTACAAGTTTTATTGCATTCTCAATCTTCTAGGCTGTTATCTCATCTCTCAGTACAAAAAGTAGATGGATAGATGGGTGGATGAGTGGGTTTTATAGGTGGTACAGGTGGATGAATAAATATGCATATTCATGCATAAACAACTGGATAGAAAGATGTATGAATTGATAAATGGGTGGGTGGATAAAAAGATGGATTCAGAACTCCGCAACACGAATTATGCCATGAAAATGATTTTGATCTATTTTCTGTTTTTGAATGAAATTGGACCAGCTTGTCTGACTGTATGATGATAAATTGGAATTAAACGAGTGAAAAATCATACGTCTAGTGAGTTGGTAGAATAATTTGATTTTTTATAACTTTCGTCGATCGTAAATGACGTTTCTTGTGAATTTTGACCTGTTTTTTGAATTTTCCCGAAAACTCAGACCTGTTGGTCCAAATCTGAAGGCAGATTTGGATTTAGCGAAAAAAAATACATGGAAATACATGGGTCTGAATACCAGATCGGATCCTTTTTTTGTGGGGCTGTGTTATGAATGAATATGAAAAAAAATTATAAAAGTTTAAAAAAATGTTATTTTCTGATATGAACGATGAAATGTAATCTAATAACTAAAAATGGTGGTTACTTTTAATAATTACTACTGAAAAATCAGGAGTCCCTGGAATTTAATCGTTATTTGAAAAATGGAGTAGGTAAATACACATTTTCAGGCACTGAAAACATATTAAAGAAAAATTAATTTACATATATGAATAAACTCTTGTATCGTTCGGAAACGTCGTTTATTAAAAACTCCATCAGATATCTGAATGCCAATTCAATCCTAACACTGGGAGCTCTCCCCTCGCATGCAAAATTAAGGACGAAATGGGGCGCTGTTTTTAAAGCAATTTCGGCGTGGGGCAAGGTCGCCTAATGACATTTTCAGTTGTCCACGCGGACTTTGATCCAGCATAATCCGACGAGCGCCGCGTGGACGAGAGTCACTTCCTCTTCCAAATCAATTTGTCACTTCTTCTCTACCTGTACTTTTGCATCGGCGTACGTGCGAAGTGTGTACACTCATAAAAATTTTATGTAATGTTACGCCCTAGATCAGTGTCTGCCAAATTCCAGGTGTAGGTAACGTGAAACATTTTAAATACCATGTAGCCCGTTTGGTCTCAAATCAACAGGATTTTTTTTTAACTGTAAAGCTGCATTATTTGAGCAAAAAGAAACACATTCATACGAAATCTAAAGCTTCTTACGTCAGTTTTTAGGAGTAAAATTTTAATAATTTTTGTTAGCCATTATTTTATACACAGATACACTCTCAAAATTTCGATACTGAAGACAGATTCTGTTAATTACAGACAAATTAGTCTGATATGTATGTGTATTGTTATAATTCCTTGAGATATAGAAATTTTTCTTACCTAAATTTTCTTATTCTGCTTAACTTCTTCTTTGTATTTTATTTCCTTCTTTCTTGACGGGGCGCCAGTTCACATGAACATATAATCGTACTTTAGTTCAAATTTTTGTTTGCTATGTGCAGAGAAAGCTTTTGTTTAAAACAAATTAATTTAAGATATAAGCAAATTTTAATCTAACATGAGTAGTCTGACCTCAGGGTAAGGTTCTGAGAAGAATAGTAAACTAATTTTAAAATACTACACTGATTAATGAATTTAAATATTAAATTTTGAGAGGGCAAAGACAAAAAAAGTTATATTTGAATTTTAATTGACTAGTTATTCTATTTCTTGTAAAAAATTCTAATTCATTTAATGACTTGAATTCACTATATTTCCAACATTATCCAATATTCGATTAATAAAATTTTCTTAAACTATACCTACGCCACGTTCTACTCTAACTTAATTAAATAACAATATCCAATTATTTGGATTTCAATATTAAATCTAATACAAGTCTGTTTTATATTAAGATTTTATACCTTTCTATCACTGTCTAACACACTTATTTCTTCTCTTGTTGGTCC